AACGACATAGATGTCTCTGCAGGAGAAAGAACCAATACCTTTGGACTTAATCTTTCCTCTAAAGGCTCAGCACACCAGCATTGAACCCTTTTATTTGAGCTATCCTCCATCATCCCAGTCAGTTATAGACCCGCCCAGGACCCAGCTCCTCTTTCAGGGAACATTCAAAATGTGCAGACTCTACCTCCTTGGGTCATGGCCTAGGTTCAAGGCTAGCCACTGAGAAGGAGCTCACCTCCTGCTTCTGAGCCAACACCCACTGCCCCAGTGCTGTCCCGAGTCAGTTCCCTCTTTCTGTGGGCCAAGTTCTCATGTGCTACTTTTTCTGGGACTCCGTGTATATTATGGGGGAAGCTGGGATTTTGCCTAATTATTCATGTGAGAGAGAGACTTAAAGGTGTCCTTATGGGAAATGCCTGACCTAGCTGTCAGGAATTTCACCCCATCTCCTCAGGGATGCCTTCCCAAGGCTGTCCAACCCACTCTCAGTACAGCTTCATCCTGGGAGTACCTGTGTCTTCCCCTTCAGCCAGACTCAGTACCTCCATGCAACCTGAAGCATTTCCCCACCAGCGCCCATGCCAGCTGTAGTGGTACTGAGCAGGGCACACACTGGATCCACCTGGGCAGTGTTGACTCTAGGTTCTGCTCTCTTCCGTGTTGACTTCGTGGGGGCTGAGCAAGTCCTGGTCACTGAGGGTCACAGAGGGTTGTGATGTGTTTCTAGAGTCTAGACACAGCTGAGGTCTGGAGAGGCTCTGTGGGTTAAGCATGTGGAACACTAGCGTGAGGACTTGAGTTCCAATCCCCAAACCCACATAAAACTGAGCATGGGTCTATAAAACATACATCTGCGATCCCAATATTCCCGCTGCTAAGAGGAAGGTGGAGGCAGGAAATCACCTGAAAGCTCCCAGGGCAGCTATGTGGTATATACAGAGATTAAAAACACGAGACCCTGTCCCCAACAAGGTGGAAGGCCTGGGCCGACACAGACTGTCCTCTGACCTCCACAAGCATGCGTTACTCCCAACAAAGACTTTTTTTTTTTTAAATTAAGAGAGCTGGAGAGATGGTTCAGTGCTTAAGAACACAGGCCACTCTTAGAGAGGATCAAATTAGCACCCACACTGGGTGACTTACCCTAACTCCAGTTCCAGGGGATCCGACAAGCTCTTCTGGCTTTCAAGGGCACCTACATACATATGTCACGCACACAGGGACAACAAACACGTATACCACACACATGTAAAATGAAATAAATCTTTAAAAAAAAACCCAGTTGAAAAAGTAAAGGAACCTGAAGAACCAGGGCAGAGTCTGTCAACTGGAAGCAATGCTGTGTCCCCACCCTCTGCTCTAGTCTTATGACAGTGTGTGGGACACTTCTTATTGTCCCTCTGGGATAAGGGTGCTTGTGTATGGAGGCCGGGGACACCAGTGCATCCCACAGTGCATGGCAGAGTGGTGGGCTTCCCAGGTTACTGGTAGAACATGGCTCGCACACTCGAGAGCACATAGGATGATGGTTAAAATGTGTGTCTTGGTATGTAGAGTACTTTCCCCACTTGTGCAAAGTCCTATCTTCCATCCCTAGAGTCTAGGATGTAGGATTTTCATTCTTAACAAGTTACCATGTGATTATGAAGCTCTTGGTCTGGGTCTATGAATTGAGAAATCCATCGTGATGGTTAGAAAATGCCATTACAGAGACTTAAGGAAGAAAACCATCCCATGCCAATCAAGCATCACTGGAGTGGCCAGAATCCAGCCCTGCCTTCTCTTAGCCATTGTAGGACATGAGGGTCTCTAGGAGACCAATATGGCTGCCGGAGGACCAGCCATAGTGACCTTATTAAAGCAGAAGGAAATAAAGACGGACCAGCTGGCTTCACGCTCCCTTAGAGCAGCCTGCTCTGAATTACTGCAATAGCTATACTCGTATTTATCCATGAGTTCTTACATAGCTATGTCTCAACACACAAGAGTCTGAACTTTATCACACTAGCAAAAAAATAAAAAACAAAACAAAACCAAAAAAAAAAAAACAAAAGAGTCAGAGTTGTATTAGCAAATAGAAAGGGCAGAATAAATATTGGGGTGGGCAAGAAGCAGCAGCAGCTTCGACTCAAGTCTGCCAGCCCAAGCTATCCTAAGTGGTATCACTTCCTTGGCATCCGCTATTCACCAGGTGCTTTCCATGTATTATCTCATGAGCTTTGTAAGGTAGATGATAATATTATTTTGCAAATGATGACAGCCTGGTTTCCATGTATCATCTCATGAGCTTTGTAAAGTAGATGATAATATTATTTTGCAAATGATGACAGCCTGTTTCATGGCATAGGCTTCCTTTTTACCTCAGTCGATCTCAGAGGCCTGCCTTTCCCTTAGAACCTGTAGAACGTTGGCTAGTCTCTTCAAAGGCTAAATCCTGCCCTGCTGGTAGTGATGAATTTGCCTTTCCTGTTCCTGCATCCTGCTCTGGTGCCCTTTTGGAAAACCTTTAGCGGTGGAGATTGGGTCTGTGAGATTGACTCAGTGGTATAAGGCTTGCCTGGCATCTTGAAAGCCCTAGGTTCCATTGTTACACCGTGAAAGCGTCTCTGTGGAAGTATGGACAGATATAATACTGTCTGAGGCCAGTCTCAGTGTGCTAAACAGAAGTTATCAACAGAACTAATTCCTTCTAGTCACTTCAGGGGAGACACCATTGCCTTCACTGTCCCCTGTCCTTGCGACCTCCTCCTTGAATTCTCTCTTCCGTTCCCACACCTCTCTTCCCTGTGTCCCACCCTCTGCATCTTTGATGATGCTGAGGCCTATCCTGATGCCCCAGGATGGTCTCCCGCCTTGATCTGCTGAGCTCATCCTGTCCACACAGCTCCTTTCTGTCATGCGTGTTGACAGCAGCTAGAAGGGAAGCATCTTTCAATGTCTCCATTCTCTCCCCTTCCATAGACCACTCCAGACGACACAGACTGTATGTGTACTCTACTTAGGCATGGAAGTTTTAAGAGAGGCCAGAAGCTAGGCCTGGCTGTTCACGCTTGTCATCCCAGCACTTAGGAAGCAGAGGCAGGAAAGGTGGCTTTAAGTTCAAGGCTAGGCAGGACTACATTGTGATTGTCAGGCTACCCTGTATTGTAGATGGGGAAACCCTGTCTCAAAAAGGACAGCAAGTAAGTAAGGGGTCAGAGATGAGGACCAAGGCAAGGCTGTGTGGTGGATAGCTTGTGTACTCTGTCATAGCAACAAATAGAAAGACAGGACAAGGGAGGGTTCTGCCCCGGGTGTGACTGTCACCTTGGTAGAGTGGCTTCACCTGTGGAGCAATGTCAGCAAACTTCATCAACCTTGGCTGCCGTCCCTGGTGACTTTTCAGCTCCCAGACTCCTTTTTAAATCCCTGCACCTCTTTGCTATTTTCCAGGCTAACAGAGGCAAAGTAGTTTGTACGAGTAGTTTGACGAGGGTGGAGAGAACTTTCTCGTGCCTGAACCCCACTTCCTACCAGGGTGGGTTAACTCCCCGCCTTCCACCCCACACCCTCCTTCTGTCTCATTCTGCCCTCCTAGGGTGATAGTCTGGGGCCTTGCATGTTTTGCTTTGGGTTTTGTTTGGTAAATTCCTCATGGCAGTCCCTCTGTGCTCAATGTCCTGCTGTCAGCTGCATGGAGTTGCTGAGCAACCAGAAGGAAGCCCCATCACTGCCAATTAATTTGCCAGCTGCATGGCCTGTCTCCCAGGCGAAAACGCTTGTGGGGATCTAGGAGACAGCCCCAAGGCTGGTGCAGAAGGAGGAAGGAGACTGGAGGAAGTTAAAGAACTTTGGGTGTTTTGGTGTTCTTTTAGGTCATATGTAAAGAAGTGTGACAAGAGGCTGGGCTGCTCCTGCAATGAAATGTCCCTATTTTCTTTCAGGCCACCAATCGGAACTCACTTTTTAAATTTGTGATTCTGAACTTAAGATTTTCCCCTCCCCCAGATCTCTTGCAGAGATGTCTTCAAGTGTCTTCTGTCCTGGGTGTCCCATCATTCCTCTTATCATTCTGGGCCTTGTGGTGGATGCACCACCCTGCCAAGAAGACGTTTCAGCAAGACATTTTCACATTGAACCTTTAGAATCCAAATCCCAGGGAACTACCATCAGCTATGGGTACTCTTTTCTCTGCTGGTCCAAGAGGACTTGATCATGAGATACCTTATTCCCTGCCATGGTCTATGAGGATGGTGTTTACCGGACAGGCTTATTTTTGGATCTGAGCATCCTTCCCACAAGGTACTTAGGGTTGACCTGCCCACGTTTCTTGTCCTGAATTAATGATGGTTGCTGGACCTGAGACTTGTAAAGCAGCCACTTTTGTAGGTCAACGCCATCTCCGGTGGCCAGACCCAGTCAGCACTGAAGTGGGGTACTCCCCTGAGGGACTCAGTGATTTGTTGCTCAGCATTGTGAGTGATGAGAAGTGGGAAGGACCGGTGAGGGGTGTGCATTTGCCCTCACCTGTTTGCCCTCGGACTTGGAGGAGAAGTGTGCCAGGTGTTCTGTGGGTCCCCTCTGCAATCTGCGTCAGTTATTCTGCAGTCGCTGTGCATGGAGTCTACTGTGACCATTTTTGTGTCGTCCTCTGAGGGACCCCTGTCCATGCTGAGTCAGTTATTTTACAGCTGGGATACATGGAATCTACCATGACCATTTATTTGGAGAACCAGACCCTGCTGTTCTGGGGGGGCACTAGCATGTGTCTATGAGCAGGGCAGTTCGACACCTCCACACCCATCTGTCAGCTCTGAACAGGGCGCAGGCTTCTCAGGGGTGCTCAAATGAGCATGGAGTTTTCCGGGAAGCCAGACATAAGCCTCACTTCCTCCCAGAAGCACTATGTCCTGTGTTTGGATGCCGCATCAATGGAACCCTGGGAAATAAGAGTTGGGAAAATGAAGCGCTGTGAAAAGACCAGATGCTGCCATGTAACTCTTGTGTCTTTTGGTCCACAGGCTTAGAAGGAGGCTGACCAAGGCTGTTCCTGCTCACCTGTGCTGCTCACCAGAAGCTCTGTGGAACCGTGGAAAATATGTTCCTGGCCCTCCTTTCAGGACTTGTCCAAGATCAGGCTATCTCTTAAGAGGCAAGATCCCTGGATTTCAACTGAAGAATATTATTTTGAAAGCTATAGAAACTTCCAGACTGTGAAGCTGTTTGGGAACACTCTGCATTGACTTGAATAAAGAAAGACATACATCGTGGACATGACCAACAGCTGGGGAAGGCTCATCATCCCAACTCATCTACTGTCTTGTAGAAGACAAGTCTCCTGGTATCACTACCCAGGACATTCTTCTCTACCCTGTTGCTGTCCCAGGCACCACACCCTTTCCTGCCTGACCCCACCTTGCCTTTGGACCCAGAGATTCTTCTTATTTGCTCTGATATCTTCGAGCCGGAGGCAGAGTGAATAGTTAACTACACTTGAGTTGAATGGGATCTTGATTTTTGTTTCTGTTCCTTATAAAGAGGTCATTCCCTGTGCACGGCGCACAGCCTGGAGATGGTAGGTGACTCCTGAGTGACACGGGAATTGGTGTGGAGGCTCTGTGGCCTCTTGGTAGTCAAGGCAAGTGGAGACGGCTGAGCAGGGGAGTAGAGCAGGGCTGGTCCTGACTTTGGGCTTGCGTTGCTTGGCTCCCATGCAGGTGTGCATTTGGACACATAGAGATGAAGCCATCATCCATCCATCTTCGGTGACACAAATGGGATGTGCTATAAAGACCTTCAAAGGTGACAGGGATCAACTCATTCAGGTGATTTGAGACTGAGGCATTGCCTACTGAGGACCTCGCCCCCCAGTTTATGCTGGTCGCCCACGCAGCTGTCAGAAGCTGGGAACTTCTCTATCCCTTTCCTCTTTGGCCTCTACTTGGGCAGTTGAGAATCCTTTCTAATGATTTGTGGTTCCACCTTCTTGACTGCACACTTGAAGATGTTTGAGGATTTGTATTTGTAGTTTGTTTATATAAAACATCCAAACTTCCTTGTGTTGTAATTGATACATTTCCATGGCTGTTCAGTGACTTTACAGTGGGATATTGACTTTGGCCTCTCAGATTCGCCATGGTGGAATTGAACAAACCTCCTAAAGATGTTTGATGCTGTTGAAGTCCAAAGAAGGCTTACAGACCTCTCCTTCCCCCCTCCCTCCTCTACTTTCTTCTTTTCTAAGTACATACTGACAGCATCTCAATTGCATGAATTTCTTCAGGTATTGAGGAATGGTGACCCACTCCTAACATCTCTGTAAATGAGGCCATAGAAATGGTTGGTGGGGCTGCCCAGGTGGCCTGTCCCATAATCCCATAGTTAGACCATGTACTCAAGAATTACAGGGATGAGGGGCTGGAGAGATGGCTCAGTGGTTAAGAGCATTGCCTGCTCTTCCAAAGGTCCTGAGTTCAATTCCCAGCAACCACATGGTGGCTCACAACCATCTGTAAAGAGGTCTGGTGCCCTCTTCTGGCCTTCAGGCATACAGACAGAATATTGTATACATAATAAATAAATAAATAAATATCAAAAAAAAAAAAAAAGAATTACAGGGATGGAAAGGACAGGGACATCCAGACCATCAAGTTCCTCACTTTGCAGTAGGAAATAGTGTTCCCAAATCCCACATTCCACTCTGTGTGGAGCCGGGGAGAGCCAGTCATCCCAGCCTGCCAAGGACAAGGGAATTTTGGGGGCAAATGATTTGGGGGAGCTAAATCTGCATCTCACTTGAAAAAAGTGTCACAGTTGGTCATCCTACAGAGTGAAGCAGTGACCATATCTCTTCTGCTGCTGCAGCAAGGCAAAGCTTCTAGGTTGCTGGGCCAGCCCCCATTCAGAGCTGTTTGTCTGCTCTCATTGGCCAAAGGGCAGCCTATAGACAGACCAGATCAGGTGCCCCATCCTGACCAAATCTGTTTGCAAGATGGTAGGTTTGTCTTGTACTGAAGGAAATCGTAAGTGTGACGGGCCAGTTGAGACCAGGTCCTTCCAAGGAGTGTTGTGTACAGTAGGCATGGCAGAAATTCAAAGTGTCAGGAATTGTTTTAGGACAGTCCTATATAAGTGACCCTTGCCTCTTATTAAAAATGAAACTGCCCTTGAAGAAGCAAACCCACAGTCGCCGGGATAGTACAGGATGCCCCGCGCCATGCCCGTGTTTGCACATGTGTGCGTGTGCGCCACACCTGTGCAAACATGTGCGCTATAGAATAAACGAAGATCAAAAATTTCCATCTGTGCTAGACAGAGACAAAGGGCTGAAGTCTTCGGGACGATGTCTGGAAAGCAAGGGACTTGGCTAGGAGACTTCCTGAAGGTCCTTTGAACTGTAGCTTTTATTTAGAATATCAAGGGCATTTCGACTGGGTCTAAGTGTGTACTTTCTCTCTAAAGTCCTCCCCGATAATCCTGATAACCTGGGTTCAACTCAGAAAGCATGGAGTGGGCCCTCCCAGCTCACTCTTACCTTCTCAGTCACTGCCTAGCTTCAGGGAGCCGCTGGAACTTTAAGGAGGTGGGGAAGGGTGGATTCATACCAATCCAATTTGGGGTGTTCATGACAAGTAAGAACAATTGAAAGGTAAATTACAGGTTCTTTTGCAGCTTAGAAAAGCCAGGTTTTCAGGATTGCCTGGCTCCTGAAGTTGTTGCTACCTGTCAAGGGCTTCAGCCCCCATCTTTCTGCCGAAAGCTAAGCAGGAGGGTCCATGGTGCTGGAGCATGGGCCTCCCACTAATCCTTTTATCTCAAGTTGTGAGGCCACAGGGGGGTAATTACATACGAGGGTGGTGATGAGCATCCAGGCATCCAGGGGTTTTGGCATCATTCTTGAGAATCCCCATGCACTGGGAAGAATCCTAGCCCGTATCCTTTTCTTTGGGTACCATTTTTGAAAAGATGACTATGGGATTGGGAGGATGGATCCATCCAGAAAGTACTTGAGGACCAGTGATGGTATGCATTTATTAACTCAGTGCCTGGGAGTCAGATTCCCGGGGTTCACTGTGCAGCCCAACTCACATAGGAATCTCCTTTCAGATTCTGACCAGATATCATCCAGACTTGGGGGGGGGGCAGACTTTGCTTGAGAGGGAGTTGCGAGGGAAGGCTGAGGCTATCATGGGGCGATGATTGTCAGTTCCTCGATGAGATTTTGAGCTGATGTATTTTGCCTTCTCCCCTAATCAGTTTCTTATGTTTCAATCCTAATGGTATGTATATGCTGGTTTAAAATAAAAATTCCAGGGCGGGGAAACAGGAGACCTGAGATAGTGATATCAGAAAGTCCCCCTTTTTTTAGCTCCTTGTATTTGACATGCAGGGTTGGGCACAGGTGCCTAAGACCATCTCCCAATGACATACACATTACTGTCAGTTTTCTAGGAGTTGCTGTCTTAAAGATCAGCTGTCTTTTCCGTAGTGGAAGCGTCCAAGAGATGATGTCCATGGGACGATGGAAATCGCCCCATCTTTGAGCTAACCACTCTCAACCTGATCTTCTCTCAGTTATGGTGATCATGAGTACATTTCAAATTCACTCCGCTCCACACCCCTGGGATCTTATGGGACATTTGAACTTGACTCCAGACCACAGGAGCACTCTGGTCTACAAATATACCTGGGGAACCATTCTATGGAGATAGCAGTGTGAAATTACTAGAGACAGGAAGACATTCTTATGGGGATGCAGAGCCTCCTGCTCAGGAGACTGCAGTTTAAAGGACAAAGAGTGACGTTGGAAATGACCACTGATACTGGATGAGACCCTCAAAGAGTAGACTTGTGGAAAGCAGCGGAGGGAAGCCGAAAGAGATGCTGAGCTTTCGGTAAGTTGAGGAACAGTCTGGATACCTGGGCTCCAGTCCTTGGCTTTCACTAGCTCAAGGTCATGTGTCAATCATTCAATCCTGCCTCTGTGGCTCAGTTTTGTGGTACATGCAATGGAGCAGGAAAGTAAAGAAGTCGAGTGTACGTCAGGGTTGTCGCCCTGCCTATCCTGGCTGCTGTCTATTTCCTGATAGGTAGCTCATTGTCCCTTCAGCTATACAAGTTGGAATTAGGGCTGTTCCATCCTAGGGAAGTTCATTACCAAAGCATACTTCAAAGATGTTTGCACATGTTGTCAGTCACACTGAGCATGAGTTTGTTGAAGGAAAAGGCAAATAGACACACAGCCGGTGATGGGAGGTGCGACGGGGGCTGCTTAGCTCTAAGTGGCTGCAAGGCAAGGCAAGGGGGAAAAAAGAACCAAAAATTCTGCCTGCCATTTTGGCCAACAAATAAAAACGGGGAACACTGAATGGTAAAACCATAGGGGATTTATTAGTCTGCATAGTAAAGGACAGACACTAAGTCTGAAGTTGGCCCGTCCCGGGACTTGCCTCTTGGCTTTTTTGTCCTTCTAGGCACTGATGTCGGCAGACTCCAAGTTATTAAGTTCTATTCAGTTTCTTTCTTAAAATTGTTTTCTGTCTCCGTCTTCCCTCCCTCCATTACCCATCCTTTCCACCTCCCACCCATCCTAGAAACTCAAGGATGGATTTTGGAGGAAGTGGAAGACTCTGCCTGGTCATAAAAATCCTCTGTACCAAGGGCTCTGACTGGCCTGGGTTGAGCTGTCTGCAATTGTGGTGGCCTTGGGAAGTGAAATTTCTAGGTCACCTTACAGATCCTCCACCTCTGACCTGGACTACAGAGTGCGAAGAAGCAAAGGATTCATCCCTCATTAAACTTAGAATGAGCACTGTGGCGAGTGTTAGGAAGATGGAACCGCAACTGTTTCCAAATCATAACCTTGATGTCCTAGGAGACCATACATGCCTATGCATGACAGTAGCTTCAACAGACATATTGAGATAGAGGTCCTATTTAAGGAGGGGTCCCACAGGACCTATGACTATTAGAGCAGGCGAGGAGTGGTTGTCTACCTAGCTTCCAAGAACCAGGTAGAATGTGAGCATCCCCAATGGCAAGCTACCGTAGGGCCCCCTGCTCCACATCAGACCCTCAGTGCTCTTATCCAGACCTGCCCCAGGAGACGGCCCAGGAAGTCTTCCTTCTTGGCCCCAGGCATTACAGACAGCTCTCCACCTCTGCTGCCCACAATTGGGAATGTTCTGGAAATGCTTCATGACGAAAGTCCCTCTCGGATTCCAGTAATGAGCTTTTATTGAATGGGGTGTGTTAGCTTTCCATAGCTTTAGCAAATACCAGAGATAATCGGCGTTTAAAGAAAATAGGTTTATTTTGGCTCGTTGTTTTGAAGGTTCCGGTCGGAGCCGTTGCTTGGGGACAGACCTGAGCAGGAGCCTACGGCAGGGCAGAGCCACTCATTTCGTGGCTGGATAGAGAAAGAGGGTCCTGAGTCCCACAGTCTCCTCAAGGGCATTTCCGCAATGGCGTGAAGACATCCCAGGAGACCCAGACTTTAATACATAGCCTGTGGTGATGGTAGTGGTGGTGGTGTGTTCCAGGTTCACACTGCAATCTACCGTGTGATTTCAAATCCTTTGCCCATGTGTATGGAGCAGTCTGTGTTTTGAAGAATAGCTGGAAGAACTCCCCTGTCTCAAGGGCTCTCTTTTCTAAGAAACCTTTTTTGATTTTTTTCCTTCCCTCTCAAGCAGTTGAGACAGCTCTGTCACATATTTTTAAAGTATGTTGCAGCATATATGTTTGTATATATGTGTATATATATACATACGTGTTAGTATTAAATAAAGTATATTTAGGTTGAATTATTATCCTGAGTGCCTCCTCTCTGCTTCTCTCTGTCTCCTCTTCTTCTGTTGGCAGAAGAATCTAGTTATTCATTATTGATTGAAAGTTGATCCCAAATCGCCCAATGGTCTTCGGCTCTCAGCACAAGCCCTCTGTGGTCTGCTATTCGCAGACACTCTCTGGTCATTGGAAGGCAGGCCCAGAGGAGTCCAGGGCCTTGTTCAAGCCTCAGACAGGTGAGAGCTGCTATTGAGCAGCAGCAGGGTCATTGACCCGGCAAATGAACAAACACGATGTGGCGTTGACTTTCCCTGTTTGCAGTCTGTCACTGCGTGGAGTGCCACATCTGCCTGCCTATTGTTTGCCTTCTAATAATCAATGAAGTGTTATCAGAACAACAGAGAAAATATGTGAGCTTGACTGTTTGGTTTCCATGAAGAAAGTGGAATGTGGCTGAGGTTTGCCGGTCTAACTGCAGAGCTAGGCTCATGTCTAAGGTGTAAATGCAAAGATTTAGATCAAGGGGCAGGGGACTTGGTTCCTTTGGTAAAGTGCTTACCATACAAGCATGAGGACCCTCCCAGTGCTGGGTAGGCAGCAATGGAAGGATCCCTGGAGCTGTCTAGCCAACTGGTCTACCTGAATTGGTAAGGTCTAGGGTCAGTGAGAGGCCCTGTCACAAAAGTAAGTGGAAAAGATCGAGGAAGACACTTTGGCCACAACATACTTATATCCTCACATATATATGCATACACACAAGCATACCATATATGCCAATAGGGTTGAAACCAAATTCTAGAGAGTCTGGCTTTATCTAGTGGTGAGAAAGCAAGAAAAACAAAATAGCAGCAAAAGCCTATCTTTGTGCTTCCCTGCTCTCAGGGACTTCCGTATAATGAGGTTGAACAAGACTCACACATGTGAAAAATCAGTCATGTTTGCTCAACAGACTCCTGGTCAGTATTCCCAGAGAGTTGGGGCAGACATCCCTTACCCTGTCCTCTAAGGTAGAATTCCCCCATAGGATGTGTGGCGAGGAGCTGGATACTATCCGGTGGACCAATGTCACGGGTATGGCCTGCAGACTCCAGGACATGCCATCTGGGGTCTAAAACAGGTAGAAGAGGGACCACATAAGAGTCAGCAGTTTCAGAGATAAAATGTCTATGACTCTTGCTGTCCTCTCTCTCTCTCTCTCTCTCTCTCTCTCTCTCTCTCTCCCCGTGTGTGTGTGTGTGTGTGTGTGTGTGTGTGTGTGTGTGTGTGTTCGTTCATCTATGTGATTTCATGTAGAGGCTAGAAGTTTACACTAGGGTGTCTTTCTCAACAATAGATTCCCTGCATCATCACCATCATCATCATCTTGAGACAGGTTCTCTCATCCCCTTAACATTTTGGCTAGACCAGATGGCCATCAAGCTCTGGAGATCCATTTGCCCCGTCCCCCAGGTGTACACAGCAACACTTGATTTTAGATGGGTTCTGACTCAGGTCTTTATGCTTGACCAGAAAACCCATTACCCACTGAGCCCTACCCCAGCATTTCCTGTTAATCCCTTGAGGGGAACCTATTGAGAGCTGTGGTTCTTATAGGTAAAGAAACCAAGACCAAGAGCCAGGGCCTTTTCACAGCCCTCCACATCAGGCTCCTGTCTCTGGGCTCAGAGAGGATTCCTCTATACCATAACCACCACGGTCTTGGTCTCTGCTGCTGCTGTAACAAAACTCCATCCAATCTCAGTTTCTACCTGAGGCTTTCTCGTCTACACTCCGGTGGAACATGAGTTGGCAGTAGTGCTGGTAGAGAAAGCTCTTTGCAAAGCAGTTGGGACCCAGCCTCCTCCTGTCCCAGGACACTATTACTCCAGGGCTTTCTTCCTCTTCTGCCAGAGAATTACAAAGAATATGCTAGTGTGTCACTTCTGTAGCCTGGAAGGACCACCTCTCTCTTCTGTTCACATTGCTTTGGCAGCGATTGGCCAAGGTCTCCACATGGATGCAGATCTGAGAAATGCCCAGCTCTGTCATACAAATGCTAGTGAACACCAGAAGTTTCTACCACGCACACCAAATATCCACTGTGGCAACTGGGGTGTCCCTTATTGTTTTCATGATGGTGGCCTTTCAGCTTCATGAATTTTGGCCTCTTGAAGGTTTTGTTGTCACAGGCTGGTATGTATAGGTTCAAAGGTGTAAAGGAAAGCAAGACGGAGGTGAAGCAAAGCAAAGCCCTGAGTTTCCATCATCGTCAGCGGTGACTTCATGTGATTCAATCACTCTTTCTGTGCCTTGATGTCCAGGGTGTGTCTCTGTGTGTGTGCATGTCTATTATCAGGTGCTGATGGCATGTGTGTGGAAGCCGGAAGTCAACCTCAGGTGTCGTTCAGAGGAGCTGTTCTCACTGAACCTGGAACTCACCAGTTTGGCAAGATCAGCTGGCCTGTCTGTCTCTGCCTCCTCAGTGCTGGGATTACAAGTGTGTACAAGTGTGTGCCTTTGTACACGGTCACTGGGGCTGGAACGCAGGTCTCCATGCTTGCATGACTTTACCAATTCTATGTGCCAGCTGAGTCAGTCTCCCTGGGCCCAGTTTCCTCCTTTGACCAGCTTCTAAGAGTAGTTCTGAAGTCTGACTGGGTTTTGGCATTTGGAACAGAACTTGGAGCCACGGTGCTCCTTCCACATGTCATCACAGCTTTATTAATTCAGATGAGTGTTCTTGATGCCTACTGCTTGCGAACCAAGTAGGGTGATTAATCTTAATTGTCAGCTTCATTGGAGTGAGACATAGCAAAAGAGAGTTCCTAAAGCACACCTCTGAGTGTGTCTGCCATGGCTTTGCCGAGGAAGAGTAGATCACCAGTGCTCCCTCCTAGTCAATGGCTTGATCCCTTGGTGGGTTTATAGTGGACACCATCACTGAGAGATGGCAGGCGGGTGCCTGGCTCATGTTTCCCTGATCACTTCCTGAATCTTTCTCACTCCATTCCCTGTCTTCTATGAAGAGATACCTCTGTGTCGTGTTTCTACCACCATGACAGTCTGTACCAGTACACCATGGTGCCAAGCAAGCATGGACTGAACTCTCTCAAACAGTGAGCCAAAATAGAGCTGACTTTATTTTTAAACTGTGTCACTGTTATTTTGTCTCAACACAAAATCTGAAAACATTAGAAGTGTTTGTAGAGCCAGTAGCTGGCTCAATAAGGAAAGGCATTCACTGCCTATGACCTGAGTTCAATCCCTGGCATCACACAGTGGGTGTAGAGAACTGACTTCTGCAAATATCCTTCACACATTCACATATATGTTATGACACATATGCGTGTGTACATATACACAACAAATCAATGTGTTAAAACATTTAAAGAAGTCTTTAGGGTTTGGCACCTTTCAGATTTTGAAATATACACATCAAAACCAAGATATCTTGGAGATGGATCCAAGCCTAAACTCTGAACTATCTTACATTTCAAATACACCTGACACACACAACCTGAAGGTTCCCTTATATGGTAGTTTTTGAACATCTACGTTTTGAGTGGAGCACATGATCTGATGTTGGGTGTAAGAATTTTCTATCTGTGATGTCATATCAGTACTGAAAAGGTTTCAGATTGGGTGGCGGGGAAAGCGTTTTGGAATTTGTAGTTTTGTATCGGAGAGTTCTGATCTGCACTCCGAGCAAGGAAGTTCATAGGTCTAAACAGGAAGAAGTCATTTCAGACATACCAAACCTCTGCTGTATCATGTGGAAGCCCCACCTAGTGGGGTTTTGGCTCGGTGGGCTTGTCTATGATTGGCAGCAGTCAGGACTATGGATGTTGTCCTTAGCAGCCAGTCTCAGCACTGCATCTTGTGGTGAGATTTTGTTTGTGTTGTAACAAAGCTTGCCTGAAGATCAGAGTGCCGAGCTAGCCATGCTAGTTAGCCACAGAGGCCAGGCAGTGGTGGCACACACATTTAATCCCAGCATTCAGGGGCAGAGGCCAATAGATCTCTGTGAGTTCAAGGTCACCATGGGCTACACGAGATTGATCCAGTCTAAAAGAGAAACAGAATCACTCAGTGGTGGCTCACATCTTTAGTCCTAGTACTTGGGAGTCACACGCCTTTAATCCCAGTACCAGGAAGGTGGAGACAGGAAGAGATATGGCTGGGCAGAGAGAGGAATATAGATGGGAGAAGACAGGAGCTCAGCACATTCAGTCTGAGGATTCTCAGAGACAGGATCTTCCCACTTTGGTCTGGATTTTCTATAAAGGTAAAAGATCTCTCGAGTGGCAAACTCCCTTACTTCTCTGTCTTTCAGCATTAACCCTGATAGCCTGATATCTGACTCCAGGTTTTTATTATTAAGACCAATTAGAACTCAGGCTACACCATCTCATCTAGCCTCTAGTGCCGTCAAGGTTTTCTACTGAAGATCAAGATCTCGTGGAATCTATCCTCGCCATGCCTAATAAATACAGTCTTAGGCACACACTGAGTGCTTAAAGCCCCTTCTATGGCCTTTCCCTTTGGGGGCCAGAGACCTCCCAGTCCTTCACTTGCCAGGCTTAAATCCCTGCCTCCATATACTGCACCCTAAGACCCCATCCCAGACCCCCATGGACAGAGTGTGGGCTCTCGGAACATTGAGATCTCAGTGGTCAGCTCAGCCTGCCCCATTCTAAGCCTCCCCATGGCACCACAAGAGAATGGAAAAGCTGGTTTGTTTACAGGACATGGGGCCAGGAGAGCATTAAAAAGTAAGCAGCAAAGAAGACGTCCTAACAAATTTCCCTTCCCATGCAGGAGAGCAGGCTTCCCTGCCTCTGACATGGAGCGCTTTTCTGTGTTTGTATAAACTTTCATCTTTCACACTTACCATTCCCAGGGTAGGGCTGCCTATTTCCGCTCCCTATTTATTTTGATTCTGATCGTTCTTCTCTGTTTGA